ATTTGCTCCGCTGAAGATCGATAATTTTTGCAAAGGGTTTATGCTGGGTAGTTATGTCCCGATGGTATGAAGGTATTTCTAAAGAATTTTTGGCATGGACCCATGGGCTCCAATAACAAATGACACACCCTTAGGCGTGTCCAGTCCACATTCTCTCAACATTTTCCCCCAAAATTCTTGGTAGTTCACACCCTTCTCGACTTCTTTAACTGCAATTTACTGATCTCCAGGGTATGTCAGATCAATCAACCAACGCTGATGAGAATTTTTGATGATCAGTTTTATGTACAGACGGGTGTGTACAATAAATCTAAGTCTAGATTATGAAGTCCCATAGGAGTTTCAAATGCTCATTATTCAATTACCGTCTCCTACTTATGTTAATAGACACTTGTCAAAAGTTTGAAGACTAAAGTTCCGGCACAAACATCAATGTAAAATCAAACACATTTTGTTATGTTGCCTGTTGTATTTTCTCTGCGTAAGCATACAGAAGGTTTTGCTGGGTATACGATAGACTGCTGACCTGAGATGGAACAAGTACATTGAGTCAATTGCTTCTTCCACCGCGGGGAAAGTTGGCTCCCTGTGCCGCGCCAGGAAATTTTTCTCTCCGGAATCGATCCTCCAGATCTACAAATCAACCATTCGCCCTTGCATGGAGTATTGCTGCTATTTATGGTCTGGAGCCCCTTCTGTTTGCCTCGGGGTTCTTGATAGGCTCCAGAGGCGGATATGCAGTATAATTGGCCCAGCTCTGGCATCTCGTCTACAGTCACTTTCTCACAGACGCACCGTCGCCTCTCTCTGTCTGTTTTACAAATACTTTCATGGCAATTGCTCCGAGGAGCTGCATTCGCTGGTTTCCAGACTTCATGAGTTCAAGCGCCTTACGAGGCTGGCATCCCGCTCTCACCCTTTCACTGTCGAAACTACTAAATGTAGGCGTTTCTTCTACTCCAATAGCTTCATGAGAATATATGAGCAACGACGAAGTTTAAGAAAAAATGAAAAGTTAGGTTTGCGGAAAACTGCCCAACTGCCCAACTGCCCGATGGACAAGTGGCCAAAGGATCGCTGACTGACTGATAAGAGTCTGACAGACATCTGCTCAATAATGACAACTGCCCGACGGAAAAATACCCCATGTTTAGATATATATATATATAGAATATTTAGATATTTTTGCTATCACTAGAATGGAAAAGTACCATAGTATAATTTCAGTGCAATAGCAGTTTTTATCGTGTTACACATTCAAAAACTTTAATTTTTCTTTTCTGATCTTCAGTGGCAATAGTTTGTCGTACTAAAAATTCAGTTTCCAAAAATTTAAAAATTTGATAAATTCTTTAATATTCCATTTTTTTATTACAATAATGATAATGTTCCAGTAATAATAATAATAATGTTAATAATATAAACGATACAAATAGTAATAATAATCTTAAATATTAATTAACAAAGCAATAATGAACCTAATAATAATAGTCATTTTACATTAAACAAACCAAATCGCTACCTGTCTATATTTCTGAGATGAGGTATTATGTACATTATTTACATTATTCGGACTATTGTATCCATATTTCTTGCCATATTTATTACAACATTTCGGCATTTCAGTATCTGTCGATATTTCTGAGATGAGGTATTATGTACACTATTTACATTATTCGGACTATTGTCCTCATCTTTGTTGTCATATTTATTACAACTTTTCGGCCTTTCAGTATCTGTCTATATTTATGAGATGAGGAAATATGTACACTATTTACATTATTCGGACTATTGTCCTCATCTTTGTTGTCATATTAATTACAACGTTTCGGCCTTTCAGTATCTGTCTACATTTCTGAGATGAGGTATTATGTACACTATTTGCATTATTCGGACTATTGTCCTCATCTTTGTCGCAATATTTATTACAACGTTTCGGCTGTTGTACGCTCCGGCCTCTTAAGGTGGTTGGAATGTCGAACTGAAAATTTTATTTCACTCAATGTCGTAGACTGTTCTAGTTCCACGTGCCATGTTTCGTAGATGTCAGTTATCTCCCGTTAATTCCCCTCTCCAAGTTCTCCAATGCCTTAACCAGGTATTGAGCTCACTCTCTTTGGGTGGTACCATCTTCTATATCTATGTCCTCAAGGACACATGGCACAGTGGATAAAGGCGTTGGTTACATCCACTGACAGGACCCACATAGTGTGTTCAATACCTGGTTAAGGTAGTGAAGAACTTGGAGAGGGGAATTAACAGGCGATAACTGACAACTGACATCCATTAAACATGGCACGTGGTACTAGAACAGTCCACCCCAGCGAGCGAAATTCAGGGTTCAGTTTGACATTCCAACCACCTGACGAAGGCCGGAGCGTACAACGGCCGAAACGTTGTAATAAATATGACGACAAAGATGAGGACAATAGTTCGAATAATGTAAATAGTAAACCAACACACGATATAATTTTTCTTTCTCAAAAATATCTTGTATTCGACAAATTGTAAGCTTCAACACGACCCAGGGTCTTCATCTCCATGAGAAGAGGGTGATGGAACGGTTAGCTATTATTCATAACATTCCCTTTCAAAAGACATATGTAAACATTCAACAGATATATAAAAATCAGGAATTTTTCCCTCGGGCAATTGTCCTTATCGGTCACTTGGCCATCGGGCTCTTGTCATATCGGGCATTTGACCAAGAACCGGGAACTTAATATCGGAGGGCGATTCTAGGGTACATAATGAGAAAGGGGAAAATAAGATACTCACAGGACAGATTAAAGGCAAGAGAAAGAGAGGAAAACAATGATATGGAACTAGACAGAGAGACCTGAACGGATAGATAGATAGATAGATAGATAGATAGATAGATAGAGAGATAGAGAGATAGATAGAATCAGGATGGAAGATAGATAGATAGATAGATAGATAGATATATAGATAGATAGATAGATAGATTGCTAGGTAGGAAGAGATAGATAGATAGATAGATAGATAGATAGATAGATAGATAGATAGATAGATAGATAGATAGCGAAATAGCTTGCCAGCTAGGGATAGATAGATAGATAGATAGCGAAATAGCTTGCCAGCTAGGGATAGATAGATAGATAGATAGATAGATAGATAGATAGATAGATAGATAGATAGAACCAGGATGAAAGATAGATAGATAGATAGATAGATAGATAGATAGATAGATAGATAGATAGATAGATAGATAAATTGCTAGGAAGGAATAGATAGATAGATAGATAGATAGATAGATAGATAGATAGATAGATAGATAGATAGATAGATAGCGAAATAGCTTGCCAGCTAGGGATAGATAGATAGATAGATAGATAGATAGATAGATAGATAGAACCAGGATGGAAGATAGATAGATAGATTTTGTCTATATTTCTGAGATGAGGTATTATGTACAGTATTTACATTAGTCGGACTATTGTCCTCATCTTTGTCGCCATATTTGTCACAACGTTTCGGCCGTTGTACGCTCCGGCCTTCTTCAGGTGGTTGGAATTTCGAACTGAACCCTTTATTTCGATCGCTGGGGTAGACTGTTCTAATTCCACGTGCCATGTTTGTCCTCAAGGACACATGGCACAGTGGATAAAGGCGTTGGTTAGATCCAGTGACAGACCCAAAGAAGGTGAGTTCAATTCCTGGTTAAGGCAGTGGAGAACTTTCAGAGGGAAAATTAGCAGGAGATAACTGATAACTGACATCCATCAAACATGGCACGTGGAATTAGAACAGTCTACCCCAGCGATCGAAATAAAGGGTTCAGTTCGAAATTCCAACCACCTGAAGAAGGCCGGAGCGTACAACGGCCGAAACGTTGTGACAAATATGGCGACAAAGATAGATAGATAGATAGATAGATAGATAGATAGATAGTGTTCAGATTTACGCCAGAATACGTTTCTTGGGAAGAATTTGGGTCGTAAAAACTGTCGTTGTGAATACATGATTACTCTAATTTTCGTCTCTTCTCCCTGATATTTCTTATTCTCAGCCCCCCCCCCCCATACATTCTCGGCAAGGTGTGGAGCAATCCCATAAGTCCCTTATTAAGATTTCGAGCTGTGATCGTCTTTCGTCATATTCTTGATTTCATCATTGTCGTCGCCTATCGGTCAATTGAATAGAGGCAAATTATTTGTCTAATCGAATCTCTCGGCATCCGAACAGCACGCCTATTTTTCGTTTCTTCCTCTTTTACGCTCATTAATTTTTACTCCTTTGTCGAGTAGATTTATAAAAACGTTCCACGTCACACACTGTACATCAGCAAGGCGCTTTTCCTTCCTGGCAATCACTTTCACTGTCCAGGCGCCTGACATCATTCAAAAATCGATGGAAGCCCATCGGGGTAATAATTAGTCTTTACACTTTTGCAAATACGGATGCAAATAATATTTGGGGAAGTGTCGGATTTAACAATAGGACTAATTGTGAAACACCTGTCAGGAGAAGAACAGTTAAAAAAGAACTTTGTCTTTAGTAATAGTAGCAAAATTAGGTACTCTTATTGAAGTGGTCATTAGAGTCTTTGTTTTGTCGCAGTGTTTAAGTATTTGTCGTGACAGAATATAAATTTAATAGTGAACTATTAGCAGCTACTTATAGAGATGTGGGTTGCTTTGAACTGTATCGAAGATTTTACAAGTATTCAATTGAATGTGTATAAGCTAAACTTAACTGTTCTGTATAATAAACCATCAATTTTTTTTTTGATTGATAAAATAAATCGTCTTTTACGTCTTATCAACCATTTGCAGGTTATTTAAAGTAGAAGATATTTTTATATTGTAAGTTAATGATGGTTTAGTGATTCAAGTCTTGCTAATTAACCCATGGCTGGGGGGAAGAAGATGTGGATTTCCCAATAGTATTTTGTGAAGAGAATATAACGAACCCAACTTGAATTATTCACCAATTAACAAGTCGTAGCCATTATCCATTACACTAGATGTATATACAAGCTTACAACACTTTGTATTCTCAAGGGGTCACCCATCTACGTACTGACCAGGTTCAATGTTGCTTAACTTTTGTGATCATACGGGAACCAATGTTTCAACGTCACATGGCCGTAATCCTTTGATTCCAGGAGTTTGGTACGTTTCGGCGTAGCCCATTCGGCATCCCTGATTCGGCGTAAGAAAAACAATTGGTCTATTCATCACAGCTGTTTGGGCGTCAGACTGTTTCGACGTCATTGTCTTTGACCAGAGGCACCCACCCAAAATCGAAAGAGACATCGTCGTCAAGGGTTTGGTACGTTTCGGCGTAGCCCATTTGGCATCCCTGATTCGGCGTCAGAAAAACAATTGGTCTATTCATAACAGCTGTTTGGGCGTCAGACTGTTTGGACGTCATTGTCTTTGACTAGAGGACCCACCTACCCCTCCAAAAAAAAGTATTAAAAACACCCAATTTTCAATATGACTTTTTATTCATTTAGGGAATTAAGGATCCTATTAAAGAATAAAAATCACTTTTCCATCCTTCAGTTGTAATCGCACTTGTCATCGATCTTTCTGTTCACATCGCCAAAACTTTAATTCGGCATAACCTCTTGTTCGTTGCATCAAAAATAAAAAGTTATCCATCATGTATTACTTTGTTTCTTCCATGTTTTGAGAAAATATTTGCTTCCATTTTGGAATAAAGTGGCTTTGATGACTGTAAAATATGAAACTGCAGGAAGGAAATATAATATAAAAATACCTCCAACGAATCTTTTTCTTAAATTTAAAAATACCTCCAACGAATCTTTTTCTTAAATTTAAAAATACCTCCAACTATTCCTTTTCTTAAATATAAAGATGCCTCCAACTACACTTTTTCTTAAATTGGGCTATTCGAGCATATAACGACAAAGCACTAAATTCACTACTAAACGAGAGAGAGAGAGAGAGAGAGAGAGAAAGAGAGAGAAAGAGAGAGAGAGAGAGAGAGCAAATTTGACTCTGACAACGAAATAGTTATCTGACGCTTAATCGAATAAAATGGCTTTGCCGACTGAGAAATATGAAGCTGTACTGAAGGAAATATAATATAAAAATACCTTCAACGAATCTTTTTCTTAAATATAAAAATACCTCCAACGAATCTTTCTTAAATATAAAAATACCTCCAACGAATCTTTTTCTTAAATATAAAAATAGCTCCAACGAATCTTTTTCTTAAATTGGACTATTCGAGCATGTAAAGACGAAGTACTAATTTGACTACTAAAGAGAGAGAGAGAGAGAGAGAGAGAGAAACAGAGACAGAGAGATAGAGACGAAAAATTCCTATGTCGAGTGGGCTACGCCGAGTCAGTCACGACGAATCAGTGACACCAAATAGGCTACCCCGGAACGTCCCATTCCCTGATTCCAGGCGCATTAGTGAGCTATAATTATCTTATTTTAAGTATTTTACCCCAAATAACGATAGCTAACAAAAAGTAAACGCTGATATCGCCAACACTTTTGCGTCATTGCGTTTCCAACACTGTTAAATAAAAAAAAAACCCTGTGAATAAACAACGTCATTTCTGTGTGAATTTCTGCAATGAGGACCTATGATTATTTACACGAATTACTATAGTCCTTATTTTCGTTTCTGCCATCACAACGTTTTGGGCGCTACACCCTCCGGCCTTCCTCAGGTGCATATCTATCTGGCTAACCATCAAGGTTTATTGAATCTATTTAATCTTTATTTAATATCCAACAGTAAATTATTCTCGTTCCACTGCCCATGACTAGGGAAATCACGTCTACTTCATAATTTTTGTACTGCTCAGTTATTTCTCGCCCGTTTCCACTGATAGTCTTGTATTTGCTGTCGTGAACTTGGAGCCTTAAACCTAACCTGACTGCTAAATAATACTGTAATTATCATGTTTTCATTGCTGTTGCTGCCTGTCGCGTTGTGATTGCTGATGATGCTGTTGAAGACCCGCTGTCACTTGTCTTCCTTTCTGAAAAAACAGCACACCGACCGGAATGCTGAGATGACAATAAAGATGAGGACAATAGTCCAAATAAAAGGAATCTCAATAAACAGTTTGAATGTCGGATAGAAACCAATTAAAAAAGATGTCTGCAAGTGCAACGAAGAGTAAAACAAGTTTTCGTTTTCTCATTGGATTTATTTAACCTAAGCGTTAAGTCAGTCCCGAGAGAACGAGAAGGTGTATCAGGATTTAATATCGGTCGACAGAAGATACGTGGACGATACCAGGTCACGGATAGATTTAGATTATTTTCTTCATTAGATGTCTGCTTCCGATTTAAAATTAACTCTTTTACATATTCTTCTCTTTTATAATATGTAATATCTTTACCTTTTATTAAAACGGCATTTTTCAGGTTAAATTTGTGATCACGAAGGTTTTGATAGAATTAGACACGACAGGTCCGGGAGATTAATTTACTGAGAATAATGGATTTGATTATGCCGGCAAATTGTTAAGCAAAAACGAGTTCTTGACTTCTGCGGAAAATAAAAATAAAATGCTTTGTGAAATTCAAATAAATTATCCATCCCAATTTAATATGCTAGACGTAGACGTCATAAAAAAAAAAGAAAGATGTTTCGGATATTGGATACGGCGTTTCTGCCTTCTTCAGGTGATTGGAATTTATTTTATTTCGTTCACCGGGGTAGATTGTTCTAGTTCCACATGCCATGCCTCTTCCTCATGTCTCAGTTATTCCTCTTTAAGTCTTCAAGTTTTTGGTTCACCATTGCTGTGGCCTGATACTGAACTCACAAACTCTTTGGAATCAATGGATCTAAACAAAGTGGCTCTAACAAACGTCTTTATCTAATGAGCCATGTCTCATCCCTTGGCCGACAATAACATAAAATTGAGATCGATACAAAAAAGACAACAGTACCAAAACTACTGACAGTATAGTAGTCAATATCGACAAATATTACAAGAATGACTTATTCCACAAAATATAAAGGGAATAATAAAAATCTAACTGTGGGAAAAGGTACGTCTTTCGTTACCCACAAAGTGCCGGTCCAAATTCTGACCAAACGACCAAACGTTAAAATTTGTATCTGTCTATATCTCTGAAATGAGGTATTATGATTACTTGCATTATTTACATTATTTGGACTGTTATCCTCATCTTCATTGCCATATTTACAACGTTTCGTTCGTTGTACGCTCCGGCCTTCGTCAGGTGATTGGAATTTCGAACCTCATCCTCAAGGACACATGGCCCGGTGGATAAAGACGTTGGTTAGATCCAGTGACTAGACCCCCAAAGATATGAGTTCAGTACCAGGCCACAGCAGTGGTGAACCAAATCTTGGAGAGTTGAGTTAAAGGAAAATAACTGAGACATCCTGAAGAGGCATGGCACGTGGAACTAGAACAATCTACCCCGGTGGACGGAATACAAGGTTCGATTCGCAATTACAATCACCAGAAGAAGGCCGGAGGGTACAACGACCGAAGCTTTGTTAATATTGCAATGAAGATGAGGATAACAGTCCGAATAATGTAAATAATACAAGTAATCATATAATTCTTAGTGGAGGTGAAAATTTTCAACAACCATTGATAGGTAGGTAGATAGCTGGATCTCCTTGATAAGATCAACAAAATCAGCAATATTATTGCTCATGATCTGGCGTCGCTAAATCACTCTTTTTCCCACCGTCGTAAGGTTGTCCCACTGTACATTTTTTTAATTACTTTCGTGGTAATGGTTCGTATGAAATTTTCGTACGTAACCCTTTTGTATTAAACAAAGGAATACACTGGCGACGGGGCCTTGTCAGTTTACAGATGAGTTGGCTAGAGGTAAACCTTAATTCCATGCTAATAGTTTATTTTCTCGCACTTCTTGCTTGTGGAACTTTCTACCAGTTCCATGCTTTCGAACCAACTTTAATCTTCCAAAAATGAAATGCAATCTCAATCGCTATCTACTGTCCTCCTGATTGCTCTTCTTTTTCCTGGCTCCTTAGTAATGTTTCTGTTTCTAACTCTTCCACAGCCAGTAACACTTTTGTGTTTTAGTGGCTTTATTACTTTGCTTGGGGCAAACTCGGTTAGAAAAAATACAAAAAATAGATAGATAGATAGATAGATAGATAGATAGATAGATAGATAGATAAAAATATTACCAACAATAAAAATCTTGTCGGCAATAAATAACCCATTGAGGTTGATATGACATAAAACAAATCAGACCAAAACAACATACAAGGTAACCAAAAAGTTCTGTCCGTTTTTAAAGGAAAAAACGAAAACGCTTCACAGTATGTGTAAGTTATATTTAGTCTTCGAAGCAATCGCCATCGGCATCCAGCACCTTCTGCCAACGTGTCTCCAACTGTCCAATGCCCTTATGGTCGAACTCGGGGGTTTTGACACAGAGAAATCCATGAGGGCTTTGTGCAAGTCTGCTTGATTGGTGAAGGATTTCCCACAAAGATGATTATCCAGGGAGTAGAAGGGGTGGTAAACGGATGGCGCAAGGTCAGGTGAATAAGGTTGATGGCACAAAGTCTCCCACCCAAGTTGCTGTATGGTATCCCTGACCACTCGCGCGACATGCATCCTAAGGGACAACCAATGTCTGGAACGCTTGGGAGTTTCGTACAGAACCCACTTTTCATCACTGGTAAGCACTCGATTGAATAAGGATGCGGTACGGTGGCGAGAAAGCGGCGATACGCAGGCTGCCACTCGTTGTCCCTTGCTCAGTTTGTACGTCTTACCTAGGCGGTGCAGGTGAAGTCTAACTGTTTCATCGGAAACGTTGAACTGTCTTGCAAGTTCATAACACGTTAGTCCACTGTCCTCTTCAATGGCCACCTTCAGGACTCCGTCATTCAAGACCTGTGGTCATCCACTGCGAGGCTCATCATGGTTGCAGTACGTTCATCCACAGCACTATCCCCAAACGCTTGACATATGCGGCGACTTGATGCAGCTGCTGATAAGCCCACTTTGAAATCGTAAAGCAAACAACCCCGGATGAGATCTCTAGATACTTCCATCCTTCTTACAGCTGCCCGGCTTATAACTGATGGCCGGGCAAGGTGCGCGTGTTTTTTTTTTTTTAATGTCTG